TAGCATTTGTAAAATATCCTGTAAATGCAAGCAAATACAAAACTTCAATAAAACAAACAAAATATATATGCTACCTCAAGTTTATTGGAAAAAAGATAAAAATTTGTCCTCTATATTATAGCTTTATGGTTGTATAAAAATTAGTGATCATTCAAATTTTTATCAACAATTTTAATCATTTTTAGCATAACAAATTATCAAACATCTTCTTCACTTGTAACTTATTATCAGAGGACCACTAAAATTAACCACTAAAATTACCTCTATTTATAAATATTAGTTCAATTTTTTAAGTTCCGGACTCTGCAATATCATGTTTTGCATAAATGGTCTGAGTTATAAGCATATGTCAATGTCAAATAATGTAAAAAAAATTTATAATAGTAAAAGATGGATGTAATGTATATGTATCAGTATATTTTAACATTGTAATGTATAATGTAATAGCAATGTACGTAAATGCAATGTTTTATAAGGTACAGAATATAATACAGACTTTATATTAAGACTTCTGTACCTAGCTAGTCAAGTGAACACACTTTCTAAATCAACTGGTGAACAGATCTACTATTGAAAGATATTGATACTATCAAAGTCAAATGAGCCAGCGCACATGACAAAACATATGGGTTTGCACCAGCATGTGACTCACAGAGCTCACCTGGCGCTAATGTCACCGCGCAGTATGTTAGGATCAATGCTGTTTGCCTTACAACCCTATAACAAGTAGAGAAAGTGAATCGGATAAGCTGCTTTATCTGATAAGACTGGGCGCGGATGCACAGGCTGGTCTGGAAACCAAATGCAGTCGCAAACCCATTATGTCGGTTTTGTTCATGGCACAGCTCAAATGCTATTATGAACTGAGGCCTTTTGATTGGGTTTTAGGGAATCCCAAAATAACTTGATAAGATGATCCAGTCCTCTGGTGTAACCATGCAGGAATTTCAGGCCGTTTGTTCTTCTCAACCATCTCAAACCTGATACTGTACTCAGAAATTTATTTGTAAAGCAATAATCTAAAATTCAAAAGAAAACCGGGACACAATTAAAATCTTTGGGGGAAAGTTAATTTGTCAAGCTTAACTATTCTCGGTATATATACTGTGACTTTATATTCTGTATTATTTCTTTTAACATATTATCACATAAAAGAAACATTTATAGAATGCTGGATCAATTTCAATGTAAGCCAACTGTTTCATACGCAAGATACGCCAAATATTTATATACCCTTACAAAATATATGTCCATACTTATACTGTCAGCATCACGCTTGGAAATAAAAAGATTTATGTTTAAGTAAAAAGACGTTTTATCTTTTAACACTTGAATAATGTACATAACAATCACAAGTGCCATCACGTAAAATAATACACTCCTGCTGTTTTATAGACTTTAACTTCGTTCAAAGTTAACATGTACTACTCATTATAAAGCTAGCATTACAGGTACAGACTAACTAAAGGTCAGCTAAACATGAATAATTACTGTGTTTAGTTTACCAATATCTCATATGACAGACATTCTTAGCTCATTCATTATACAGATTTATTTTGTAATTTTTTCAGCAGTTAGTAATACTACATGGTAACTTACCACAGAGATCACGTATACCTTGAAACAATACATTCCGTCTTATATTATAGAAATCCCATCTTAGTCGCATGCTACAATTGATACCGATTCGTCACATACTGATTTTTCCAAGTTATTCCCTTATCTAGGAGCTCAGTTTGACATCATCGTGGGACAGCATTACAACTAGGCTTTGGACTTGGCTTTCGACCTATCTTATACCAGAATTCAAGTCGTAAAAAATGTGTATGTATTATCTTATTGTAGTTTAATCTAAGCATAACTTTTTGTATAAATAAAACATCAATTTAACAAATTTATCTAATCATAGCGGGAAGCTTATAAAGTGTTTATAAGGTTGCATTTTTTATATAGTATAGGTATTTTATATCTCATCACAGTATTCAGACTATCTTAATGGTTAGGGATAAACAAATATCATAGTTGTTTCTCCAATATTATGACAATGGTCTTAACATTAACAAGTAAAGTATGAATATTTGGTTAAATATTTCCTGAAATATCATTCCGCATTGGTTGGATCATTATGTCGTTAATGAAATGTATTAAGTAAAGGCTATATAAATAATTCAAAGTATCCTTTAGTTTGGAAATCACCGATAGTCAGCAATTTTAGCTCTCAGACTGTCCACAGTAGAACATTATCATGATTTTAATATCAAAGAGTAGGACGCTCGGTTTATACATGTGTAAGTAATTCATCCCTAGAGCAATATTCTCTAGAGATTTTTGGAATAATCAAAGGGCATGGTCGACGGATTCACTGAAATAGAAACATCATAATTTAATTGATATATATTCATCCAATACATGTAACAGTAACAAATACTAATTAAGAAATTCTAGTCAGTTTTCGTGGAATTTTGTCAGTATTGTATGTATTTATCATCCCCAGTATCTGAATCGTCAAATGTCAACTAACAATATTCTAACTTCGCCGTACGAGTGTGTGATATGTGTATCCTACATTTAATTACAACCCTGTGGACACATTCTCCTACAGAATTGCTTAGTACCACAGAACAAAAACTTTTGATTTATAACCAAGACACATGAGATGGTACATTATGGCCTCATGTTTGAGATCAAATTACATGATAGATCATGGAGTTATTTTCATTCTTAGTTTGTGTTTGATATATTGGTGCGTCATTCGTTTCATAAATTACAATTGAAGGAATTAAAGAGGCTTACCAGATAGAGTCTAGAGGATGTTTATTTTATGGTGAGGATAATTTGTAAACTGTATCTGATTAATAAAAATGCATCTATACTTAATATTATACCACACAACTAAGCAAATTCAAACTATATACTTTCATATGGAATTTGCTGATTTCATATAAAGTTCACAAGTTTAAGTAAATAATTCTGAGCATACAATTTCAGTGTATATCTACTTTATAAAATCATATTGATATTATCGCCATCTAGTAAAGAGGGTAAGTGTATTTCATTCACTGGTTTTACAACTCATTGCATGTTACTGAGTAATGCAGAGATAAGTTTTTGATGTGCCTTAAGATATTCAATTAACTTTGTCAGTTTATGTTGGAACTTATGTTCTTTCTGTAGACTAAAGTTTAGAATGCTTTACAAAGTCTTAGAATTATATTTACAATTACTGAATAACTTAATTGGATATACTCATTTCTGGATTTGTGGTAGTTACAAGTCTTCTATGAACATGAATTCAAGCAATCAACGTGGACAGCTTGCCTGATGTAGAAAAGAACTACTCAATCACAATACCTACTTATCGTGGATGACGTAGTTCCTTAGGCTAACCTGTGAGAATTAGTAAAAGCGACGTATTTAAGCCAACTAAATTCACATGTTTCAGTGAAAAAAGAGATTGAAGCTCCTTTGAGAGAAAAAATATTCAAAAGAACAATAGTTTGATACCAATTTGGTGTACAAAATAGTGATCAAATCTCTTAATATTATTTCACACACAGCACTCTCTTTCCAATCAGTAATTAATAATATTATCAACCTTATTTGCATAATCAATTTATTACTGAAATAATTTCCAAATTAATTATCAGTACAGGTATCTATAGGATATTTCCTTTACTACCGATAAATATCTCCTCCCAATGTCATTATACTAAGATTTCGCTACACGTCTGTGAATCTAATTATCATTTCCAAGTACAATACTATTGAAAATTATATCAATATTATTCATGCTTTTCGCTTTAAAAGTATTACACACAAATGATCACTATCTGCTGAAACACTAGATATTTGGTCCATTGTTATGTATTTACTATAATACACTGACATAACCTCACAATATTATGTTCTTTATTATCTGCATTTATAACAATTGTAGTGTACATGATGTCAAATGCTCTATTTCAAAGTTATAAAGGAATCAATTTATACCTCTGCAGCAAAATAGTTTTTATCTGCCTGTTGTAAGGGAATTTTCAACTGTTTCACAGCAACCTCTGATCCTTTAAACTCGCCCTTATATACACGAGAAAATGTCCCTTCACCTATCAAATCTACATTAAATGTAAAAATATATTTATTTACTGATTTTTCATGATAATCTATTATCCAATTGAAAAGAATATAGTGCTTTTGTCAAAACTTATCTGAAAAATCAAGTGATTATTTCCATGAATTTTACACAACAAGGGATCAAATATGTTGTTTTTTTTTATTTATTAAATTACAAGCATATAAATATGTATTCAATTTTCAGATTATTATCTGCTGCTAGGTATAAACAAGCATAAGAAAAGAAGTCACCTAATGGAGCAGAGCCACTTTTGAACACAAGAGCAAAATTTGAACCAGTCTGGTTAAGAGCCACTCAAATTTCTAACATGAAGCTTGTACATGTAAACCTTATGGTTTCTGACATACTGATATTTAAAGACTTTCTATAAAAGTATATGTCTTTTCAAAACAATAATTATTAAATACCTTCTGGTTTATAATTGATATCTGTATAATCTAGCTCTAAGCTGGAGATTGGGTCTGAATGTCGGAACTTCTGTAGCTCGCATTGTAACTGTCTGTAATATTGTATACATGCATAAACAAACATACACCACATCTTATGTGATTTATTTATAGTTTTATGTATCGTGATATTATACATAACAAAAAACATTATTGAATTCTTCTTTGTTACAAATGGTAGCAAAACACCCAAAACAACAAAACTGCATTATAATGATATCTGGCATCAATATTAAACAATATCATTTACAGATTGCTAAAAGGTTTGTTCACCTAAATCTTACACAAACAAACTGTATAGATACCTTATTTGTCTATGATGTTGTTGTTTTTCTTTCTTCATTTCATCTAAAAGTTCTCTCTTACTCATCCTGAACCATCTGCTCCTAAAGTTTTACTAAGCACACTACCATCTACCATACCTCTATTGTAATCTAACTGTTCTGACCCTGGACTAGAGTTAAGGAATGTTATCTCATCTACCGATAATCTTCTAGATGATAGTTTTGGTGTCCTTGGAGTATTGGAATCTAAATGTACCATAAAAACAAATGCAATTATAAAACTACATGTATTATGATATGAACATAGAATAAACTTTAACTTTTAAACTTTTACACAAGATTGCTAACCAATACTTTATCATTTGTTTGTTACTATAAGGCATATTACAACATACAAAGGAATAAAAGATAGTGTTTGCCTTAACAAGTACATGATATTTTTCATATGTCCTTAAAAAAATTTTAATTTTTTTTTTCATGGGATGAAACTTGAGCTCAATGGGGTTGTTTATTATAAACTCTATCAAACAGACAAACCATGCTTTGACTCCAGGCCATTATTTAGGTTCCCCTGTTGTCTGTCTTTGTCCTTGAGCTGTGTCTTTCAAAGCGTGGTACTAAGGCTTGTTTCCTGAAGGTCGACGGAACCAAGGTCAATGGTCATATTGCAATGGCTCCAACTTGTTTGCCAGCGAGACTTGTAATCTTCTAATCTGATAAAATATAAAATTGACATGGAATAAAGGTTTTTATGAAACAGCAAATTTGGCTCATTAAAATATAATATATAATACCTACATAAATTGGATATCTCTTTACTTATAATAATAATAATTTTCTAGATGACATCAGACCTCTCACAAACAAGCATAGTGACCACCTAAGCAGGCACTATTAACCTTTAATACCCCCCAAAAAAACAACGCATTATATAATGATTAAAATAGATCAAAAATAACCAAACCTTTTCAAAATTAAAAAGCTGAGGATAATTATTAACCAACATTTTTATTCCAAATCAGAGTCACTGAGACCTTGACCTGCTGACACCAAACAACCGAAGAGGAATCTTTTACTGACCAGATACAATGAGCCTAGTTGTGAGTTTATTTTACTAACCTTTCTTTGTATATCAGAGACTCTGTCTTCAATGTTAGAGTATGTTGTACTAGCATCTGTTCTGTAACCATGCTCTGGCCAGAATGACTTTTCTCTCTGGTGACATATTGTGTTGTTATGCTTATAGTTGTTGAAAATAGAGGAGGCTCGTAAAATGTAATATTTATAAACTCACTTTCTGTAAATTTTTTTTAACCATTTTATTCACAGCTGCTTTCAATACTACGACAGATAAGCTCGTCTATGACTTCAATTCAAAATAAGTTTGAAGCTTGGTATCAAGATGAGAGCAGGTAGATTTCAATCTTACGTAACAACAGAATAAAATCGCTGAATATTCTGTAAAGGCAAAGATAATGTTTCAACGTATAGTCAACTGCAAAAATAATCCATTTTTGTTTGTATATTTACAAATCTTAAAAATGTAATATACAGTGTAATGTACCTTTTGCAGCATACACACAGTAAGGTGAAGTAATAAGGAGAGGGCTTTACCTATAGTACTGACTGTGGCTGAGTGTTATTAGTGGTTTAAACGATGTTGTATCAATAATGTTTCTAGCATTGTTCAATTCGCGTTCTCCAGACTTTCTCCTCATAGGGTCAGTGTCTAGTATGTGCAAGCACGTGCGTTGATGCCCGTTGTTCATTCATGGTGTGAGAGGATGACACACGAAGGATTTGTAATTGTAATCAAATAATCATAGAACGCTGATGGAAACAGTCTGCTAATGCGTGTAACTTATATTGATGTATTATATATCGAGTTAGACTGTGATTAGAAGAGTTCGGTGTTTCGATTAGCTAGTGTCACATCTACATAATAAGCCAGACGGACAGTCGGTGTTAGTGATATGATGTAGACCAAGGATGAGTAAGTGTGCCTGAAAGGTGGCTCGGTATGATTTAAAAATAATAGTACAGAGGGGCACAGAGTTCATCAGATTAGAAGCGTTGAGAGCGGAGGGTCCATAGTACCAAATACGGAATAACAGGGTAATGATTTTAGTATCTGTAGTTGTGTGCTGTAGATTTGGGATGTCATATGTTTGCACTGACAGTGAGCTATGAAATGCAGTCAGTATGATATAGATGCCGACTGAGAGGGTTCAAGGGACTGTTACTGCTGTGGAGGAAGATCTCAGGATGCCCTTGATGCAGATTATTATAGGCACGAACGCCCGACACAAGTATGCATCTCGTAAATTTAACCAAGTCTTCTATCTGCTGTAAGGGACTAGTAGTGTTGTTGCACGCAAGTAAGATGCAGATGTGAGGCTGGTAAGCCTGTCGTGACATGTGATATAATTGTTGACATGTGTTAAGATCTATGTCGCAGATGCGTGTCTTCAGTTGTGTAGGTACATCAGATGAGAGGAGAGTGACAGTTAATATTTATCGCTGATTTGGTTATAGTACTAATAGAATGATCGCAGTTTAGTATAGCATAACAGATTTGCCATGCTGTAATTTAACAAATGATATACAGTAAATTCATCTGTAATTTAACAAATAATATACAGCAAACTCATCTGTTATTGTACAAATGATATGCAATAAATTCATCTGTTCTTGTACAAATAATATACAGTAATTCATCTGTTATTATACAGCTGTTACACAGTAAATTCATCTGTTCTTGTACAAATAATATACAGTAATTCATCTGTTATTATACAACTGTTACACAGTAAATTCATCTGTTATACAAATAATATACAGTAAATTCATCTGTTTTTGTTTTTATTGTTTTTTGTTTTTTTTGTACAAATGGTATACAATAAATTCATCTGTTATTGTACAAATGGTATACTGTTCCTTATAACATATGTGACGTCACTTATTATATTCAAGAATAAGGAAATACAAACCTTTGTTATATATGTAGTTTATATGTGAAATAGTGTACTCTACATTTTTATATGATATAAACTATTTTCACTAATCAGCAATAATTCTACTAACTCACTCAACATCTATTATACATTTGCTGCAATAATTAAAAAAAAACTTACAATAAAACCAAATGCACGCATAAAAATATCAACCACTTCAAACATACTAGCATTTATCACTCTAAATAAAGCATTGAATTTAAACTAATTGATAATATCCTCTATAAAATTAATACTAGAAACTATTTTATGCCTGTTATAAGAAATAACCAAGGCATTTCTTATTTAAAGGAACTATAGCCTCAAGCTCTAAAAGGCATAATATTTTCTGTGTTTGTATTGAGATAGACTATAAGATTTTACTTTAAATACTTCAGAATGTGGCTATAACACACAACTGTCTGCTGTTTGCAGCAGGTAATTCTCAATCTATCTGTCTTTTACAAGTTAATCAATAATTTTTTAATTTGTCAAATCCTTTTGTAATCAAGTTGTGTGATTTGAAATAAATTCAAAGTTTATGTATGGGAAATTTTCTCAAAATTGTGCTATAATAGGGTAGGAAGATCACATTTAAATATATTAGGTGCTCAGGACTCTGTATTTGACCATATTTACATACTAAAGCAATCTATTCAGATGAAATCTGAAAAAAAAGTTTACTAACCACCCTAATTCTGCAATCTCATAAATAGCTCTAAGCATTTAAAAGTTCTATAAAATACTATAGCATACTTTATTGGGGGCATGGACAATTATAACACGTAGGTGAGGAATAGGTTTCGCACTGGATGCTACAAAACAACAAAACATAGTCTACATACAATAATAGTTAAACACATGTAGATCACTCAGATGAATCACACACACACCAGTTTCTTTACCAATGCTGTTATTTTGTTAAAGCAGAAAAAGAAATATTTGCTTTCATTTTCACAATGTTTCTGGTATTTCTTTAACGGTATGATATAATTTATGTTTAAATGTGATTCTGTAGTTGTACAACAAACAAAAGTAAAATCTAAATGACAAAGATGTGGATAAAGGGAGTTTTCAGCATTGGGGAAAGGTATTAACACAGTTCACTACTAATACAATCACTCCCACTACAGAAGATAATGTTAGAACTAGGGAGATGGAAAGAAGCTTGCAATCTTATATTTTTATACATCAATGCTCATTTACACAATAAAATTTAATAAATTTAATATACTTTTGATTGACTTTTCACATATTTTTTCCATAAATTTTATATAAGTATGTTTCTTTAATCACAAATCTAAGTAAAGTGATAGTAAAATTAACAAATTTGGAGTAATGTTTAAAATGTCATATGCACATATAAAATGGTATATTTTTACAATATCTGAAGAAAAAACACCGGAGTTGTATTCTATATTTGTCAAACATAATCTTTCAACTTATGTTATTGTTATTTTAGCAGAACGTCAGGTATCAGTGTAACTGTGACAGGTGTAAATAGTTGGCATCTACCAAATAAATAAAAGTGGCAAGAAACAGAAGATCTATATTAATGAGAACACCTATTTCTATCAATCAGTGAACTTTCAGTTATTCTTTTAAGTAATCATAACATATATTCATTTCTAAAAGGGTTAATTATTTGTTAACTTTATTGTAGTTATATGATTATACATGTATAAGTATATCACATAATTGCAGGCACTTGTGACAGGAAAATATTGATGGTAAAAATGTGATAGTATTTTACCTGACTTCCCAGGGGGAGACAGTATATTCACTGTTACAAGGTTCTCTAGACCCTGATCTTGATCAAATTCACTAGGTGCTTGTTTTTGTAAATCATCCTCACTATCTGAACTGTTGCTGTCTGCTGTTGTCATCTGTAAAACATATCTTAAGATTAACAAAGTAAAGGCAATTTTTATTCTGAAGCTGCTATTTGGAAAAGATTGATATTTTCTTAAGGATATTTAACCTATGGCAGTACTATGTATAGTTGCTTTGAGAACAATAACTGTAATAAACATGTATAAAAGTTAATAGACGTAAAGTTTTAAATAAATAAGGTAAGACCTATATTTCATAATGTTTAATATCAATACTATTTAGTTCTTCAGAATACATGTATGATACCTCTTTGAATTTTTCTCTCTGAAGATGTCTGGCAGCCATCTCATCTCTCCGTAGCTTCTGTTTCTCATCACAAGGGGGATAACTCCTCTCACTATCCTTACACTTCAGCTTCCTCTCTTCAAACTTTTTGGCAGCAGCATTTACACCTTCAAGATAACAGGCTTAGTTTGTTGGGATGGTATTAAAATGTTTACACATAGGGTAAATAAAATATACTGTTACAAGAGGGCCATGATGGCCCTTAAATGGCTTATTGTAAGTATGCAGGTTGTACAGTTAATGATACACTATAAGAGAGTGATTTTTTTAACAATTCTATAGGCAATATCATAATTATGATTCTGTAATTCGTTTTTTCCCTATGTCCTTCAATATTTAATCTTATGTTTTCACAAGTAGGTCTCGCCTTAGATGGCATTCAATACAACATTAACAAAATAAATCACCATGAAAACCAGATTATTTTACCCTTTAACTGCCATGGTATCATAAAGGCAACAGCAGTACAGACTTCCATTTATTATTGATCTCTATTTTAAATTTTTAGAATTTCAAAAAAATAAAACAAAATATTTATGATAATAATAATAAGAAGAAAATAATAATAAGAGCCGTCACACAAGTGACGAATGCCCCGGAAAAGGTTTCTTAAGCATGCAGGTATTATGAAAAGAAAAAAGAATGAAAGTGACTTATTGCTTAATTTTGTTCTTGTGAAATGAAATGCTATTTATAGCAAACTCAACAACATGGAATAACGGACTTGGATGTGACACATCATCCTGATGTGGTAGACATTTATGCCAAGTTATTTCAAAATCCTTCAATGCATGACAATGGTACAGTTTGGAAACTCATATGTAACTTCAAACTCTTCTTATAAGCATAAGTACCTTCAAACTATTAGAGTGACCTTGACATTGGGGGTAGGAACATGGGTCTTACACACAACATGTCATCTTGATGCGGTAGACATTTGTGCCAAGTTATTTTAAAACTCTTCAATGCATGACAAAGTTATAGTCCAGACACGAATGTGTGTACCTATAATCTCTAATTGTGATAGCGTGAACCTTCAAAATATAAATGTGACCTTGACCTTTGAAGAAGGGACATGGTTCTTGGAAGTGACACAACATTGTCATGTGACAGACATTTGTGCCAAGTTATTTCAAAACCCTCAATGCATGACTTAGTTACAGTCTGGACATGATTATTGTGTAAGTGGAGACGCACAGACATAAAGACGGACATGAGCCTTAGCCGCGACATCATCTTGATGTGGTAGCCATTTGATTTTGTGCCAAGTTTTTTCAAAATCTTTCCATGCATGACAAATTTACAGTCCGGACATGAATCGTATCTTCAAACTCTTCTCAAGAGAATGAGTACCTTCAAACTATAAATGTGACCTTGAAGGTAGGGACATGGGTCTTGGATGCAACATGTCGTCTTATGCCTAGTAATTTTAAAATACTTTGATGCATGACAAAATTTCAGTCCGGACACGAATGTGTGTACCAATAAACTTTGTGATAAAGTGAACTTCAAAATGATATTGTGACCTTTGAGGTAGGGACAGTATTCTTGGATGCAACACATTGTCTTGATGTGGTAGACATTTATGCCTAGTTATTTTAAAATCCTTAAATGCATGACAAATTTACAGCCCGGACATGATTGTGTGTACCTATTAACTCTAATTGTGATAATGTGAAACTTAAAAATGTCAGTACAACCATGACCTTGGGGTTGGGACGAAATTCTTGGACGTGGTGAACATTTATGCCTAGTTATTTTTAAATCCTTTGATGCATGACAAAGTTACAGTCCAGACACGAAATGTGTGTACCTATTAACTCTAATTGTGATAATGTGAACTTCAAAATGTTAGTACGACCTTGACCTTTGAGGTAGGGAAGTAATTCTTGGACACATCATCTTGATGTGGTAGACATTTGTGCCAAGCTATTTCAAAATCCCTAAATGAATGACAAAGTTACAGTCCCGACAAGAATGGAGTGGGGATAAACAGATGGACAGACAAACAGACGGTACAATTTTAATATGCTGCCCTTCGGGGGGAATAAAAATGAAAATAATAAAAGCACCTGATTTAAAAAAAATTCCTGGAAACAACACACTTTGTACAAAAATGTACATAAAATTTGGAAATGAAAGTGTTAATAGAATGTAATTGAAATGAAAGATGCAGGCAATATAAAAATGTTTCTGACATGTCCTTACACTGTATCATTCTGTGTTATAAAGCAAGATCATTGTCACAGCAACATTAAAATTTATATGAAGGTTACCTTCTAATGCTTTCCTTTTAACAACATCTGCTGATCTGCTCCTTGACCTTAACTGTCTTGGTTCTTTCTTATCTTCAGCCTTCTTCGTACTTTCACGATTGTTTTTTGCAGATTCTCTTGTTAATGATGAACTTCTGGGTCTCAATAAAACACCCTTTGTTGGTTTAGATTCCAGGTTATTCAATTTTGAGCCAAGTTTCTCAGAGGAAGAATTATTTCTCTTTAGTTTTGTTTCAGAAGTATTGGCATTTCTATTTTGTGAATGGTTACTATTTTTAGACTTAGAATTATTTTTAGCACTTGGGGGTCTCTTCTCTGTATATTTGGCACTACTTGATTTTGTACTTGCTGCAAATGAAGGATTATCTCCCCTTGCAGAATTTTTCATATCAGTACTTTCAGAAACATTAGACATGGCACTATTACATCTACTTGTATCAGTTCCTCCTAACACACTTGCTCCATTTTTATCCTTTACAAATGTGTCAGAATGGCAAGAGTTCTTTTTGGTTACATTACTGGCTTTCAATTGTGATCTTTCAATAGATTTCATAATCTTTGTATTGTCAACTTCTTCCCAAGCAATAGAAGATGTCTGCAACTTTTTACCTTCAATGCTTTCTAATTGCGTAATAGGCAAGTTTTTGAGGTCCCTTATACCCTTAAGAATTTTATCTAAAGCTCCAAAAGCTGTAACTCCCATGTCATGTAGTTGGGAAGCTGACATAAATTCAAGATCTGTCAAATCAACTCCATTATCAGCAAATATTCTCACATGTTTGTCAACATCTGGAATCCCCAAACTTCGCAGCCAGAATTCAACTTCTGTATTACACTGCCTTGTTGTTGCAAATGGGCTACCTGAGTTCACATTTTGTCGTCTGGACTCAGGCCTATTAGGCATTGTGTTAAAGTCTTCAAGACCAAATATATCCCTGATTTCGCTACTTGGACTAGAATTGGAAACATTATCAACAACAGAGCATTCAACCTTGTTCCCATCAATACTATTATGAACAGAAGCTGGCTGTATTAGAACTTTGGTTCCTTCAAGACTAGAAATATCATTAAAACTTTCATCTTTCCCTGCCAAAATACGAACCTGTCCTTTCCTTGGATCAATAAAGATTTCTGGAGGTTCTGGTGGTTGTGTTAAGAAAATGCTTTGAGAAACATCATTTGTTACTGTGGCATTTGACTGAGACTTCAGTTTTCTTGGTGTGTATGTTTTACCTATAGACCTACTGGATTCATTACCATTATTTTGATTACTATCATCAGGTATCATAACACCATTTACATGTTCTAAGTTTTCTCTTCTCACTTCTCTGTCTTTAAACATATCAATTCTTGACCTTCTCTGTGATTCAACACCATTCTGATTTGATATTGTTTTAGTAGGCTCTTTTCTGGAATTATTAACTGTGATTTTATTTTGTTTATTCTCTTTACATTTTCCAGCAACAACAGCTGGTGATCTTGAGGAGTCACTGGTTTCACGTTTTAATGAGCTACTTCTTTTAACAGCCTTAACAGCTTTTGACGCTGAAGTGTTCTGCTTCACACCAACATTTTTTATTTCAGGTTTATGTTGGAGAGCTTTAGAAACATGCTTGTTGTTAGATTTTAATGACTTGTTATCCAAAGGTTCTGACCATGTGTCTCTTTTTATAATGTTCGAACTGGCTTTTTTCAATACTTTTGTTTTCAAGTCTAGAATTTTGTCGGCTGTATCTGGTGGCTGATCCATATTAACACTCTGATCATTTTTGTTTAACACTTTGGTTTTTTTATTATCCTCTAGTGATTTTTGCTGTGACCTTTCAGACTGAAGAACTCTGGTGCTATTCTGTGGAGCATTGTTCTCTTGATCAACAAGGTCTTTGCTTGATTTATATGTTGTGAGTTTGCCAGCACCACCATGAGCCCATCTTGAACCTCCTAACTCTTTCCTGGAAATAAAAACATTTATTTTAATATTGAAGTTTCCATATCTTAAAAATTTCTCTAAGTAGCCCATGAACTCACAAATGGTTATTTAGCTTATAAAAAAACTAAAATATTAAAAAAGTAAGTATCTTTAGTGTTGCTTTATAATGTATGAATTTCATAAACTTTCAAAATCACATACTCTTTTCACATTTCTATTTTGGTTTATATTTTAGTCACAAAAGTTATGATAATCATAAGGTCACAAGGCTAGATCATAGATAACTCCTGTAGGCACAGAAATAGTACCACTGACCTTTGTAATCTAACAAAACCTGAGCTACTACTTTAGGTGATTCATACCCTTACCTTCCACCTTAAACTAATAATGGCAAATGGTAAAGAAAATTGATTTCAGCCTTAAAGTTTGTGGAACTTCAGTTTTCGATATTCTTAATATAAACCAAAATGAGAAGGTTCCTTTCAGCTTCATATTTGTCTGGAATGGTTTTTCCTGTATATTATTAATGTCAAATGTTCATATCACTGTACTCAGAATGATGCATGGTACTGTACTGACTGTCAAGATGTACATCCAGCATAATTTATTGTCTAGTTAAAGAGTGACAAAAAGGGGTCATAACTATGTAAAACATTTTGTGGTCTGACACTTAACTTAAACTCACCCTGTATTTTATGATTTTATATTTATACAATAAATACTTATAATTATTTCAATTAATTACCTCTTAGAGAGTAATCCTCTGGAAACTATGTTTTTTTATTAAAAATTAGAAAAGAGGGCTATAACTCTGTGAAAATTAGTGGTATGTAGCCAAATTCCAACTTAACCTGCTTTCTATGATGTGGCATCTGTGTACCAAAAATTATCAAAATGTGTTGCTTTCTTAAAGAGTAATCATCTAAAGACCATATTTTTTCATTAAAAATAGGAGAAAATGGGGCCATAACTCTGTCAAAAACTGTCTGAAACCAAATTAAAACTTGACCTGTATTTTATGATGTTACATCTGTGTACCGTAAGTTGGTTTAATTAAATGCTTTGCTTTGTTCAAGGAAATCATAGACTGATTAACACACAGACTCACTCAAATACACCCCCAACAAACGAATAATTATGCCTTGGCTTGAAACCTAGAGCAGTGAAAGGCATATGATTGCAATTCAAGCCAACACCCTTAGTTAACCACTTGGCCACATATGCCCCTGCTCATTTTTATTGTTAACCTGGACTCTTTTTTTGATATTTGTAAAACATTATTTACCATGAAATCTGTAAATATTTTTTCAGACTACAATTTTGCAAAGACCTTACATTTAATGAGAAAATTTACTGTTCAAGATGCAATAACAATAACTTTTTTTTTATTGCAAAATGATGATAATTATCATATCACACCCTTACCTGATCATTCCCTTGACATTATTTTCATCTTCCTTTACAATTTGTTGATGAAGGAGGTATGCATTTTCAAGGTTCTCAATATCTCTGTGTAGCTTACTGCTTCCCTGTACAAGTTTATCATACCTGTATAATATAATGCCTTTATAATATATCAAACTATAATATGGTGCTTAAATCAAGAACCTTGAACATTCATGGATCATTATCCAATGCTATGATTAGTACAAAAAGAAGTATCAGTTGTAATTTAACAAATTTTTTTTAAATAAATAACAACTAATATGATTATAAATTTTATGAAAGAATGAATACAAGCTTTTTCGGTACTTTGCAATCATGCAGGGCTCATCCAGAAGGGCGATTCAGGCGAAAACTTCGCCGTGTATATTTCCATTTCGCTCTCCCAATTGATCAAAGAGAAGTCAACATCACCGATAAAATCTTAATTCCCAAAGAGTAACTACTTGGCGATGTAAAGAGCAGAGATTGTATCCGCCCATATGTCGACTGCTAATTATCATTATCCAATCAGAGCGTCGCTTTATACTACCCTTCTACCTGTATGCAAAGCGATAGACCGCCTACTGTAAACAGTAAATAATGAGAGCATCGGCCCGAAACGGGTATAATTGTGTGACAGTTTTTCGAGTTTAATACAGGATTAGGCGATAATTATAGATTGTTTTTTCCCCGTGCAAATTATCCCTAATTGATATACATGCAGTGTTTAACCCGAGTAATGGCGATGTGCAATGGGTTTTTCACTGCTATCACAAAACTGTTAGTCAATTAAAAATAATCAATTTCATTAATGATTTGCGACCGGATCATAGTTTTGAATGATTTCAGTCCGTTAACATCAATTAAAAATTGTTATGTCGCTCACGTCATGGCTACAGGACGAAATGCCAAAACCTAGCAGTAAAAGAAAGTTACTGATTCTGATACACCTACGCGAAAATTTAAGAAAGCCATTTCGCAAAAATCTTACGATTGGTATGTTGTAGACAGTGAGAGTGTTTGGCATTGTTATCTTTGCAGAATGCCAAATTTGACACAGCTTACGCACGTGGGCACGACATCCCGGAAAAACTACGAATCATGATCGGCATGCTACATATCGGTCGTATATCATGTGTACATGTATATAACAACAAAATTTGTCAGGAAAGAAGTGTTCTTATTGTTTCAATATATATATTTGTTTTAATGTCATAAAAATGACACTCCGATTAAGATTTATCAATATTGTAAGTTTCAAAAAGCATTATTTATAAAGATATTACGAGTTTAACATTTCATGAAAATAAAGGGAGATAATTTGAAATTTATTTTCTATAATTTCTCAGTCAAATTTTTCAATAAGAAATGAATGTATATAATTTTAGTGATCAAATATAATGTGCACAAATGTTTGCAGTACATATTTTACATATTCTTCGATGTTTGAAAATTGTTTTATAAGCATAATTATATGCACATAAATGTGACATTACAACATAAAAAACATTAACAACATACATACTGTTACATACAAGATCATAAAAGAATTACCGGTACTGTAATCAGAACAGATTTTGTTAATCAATATCCAATGTAACTAAATCTTCTAATAAAAGTGAGGAAAGTAAAAATATAAAATTAATTTATTCATCATATTTTTTCTTACGCATTATTATCACTAAATCTACATGAAAATATATAAACAAATATGTAGAGAAAGCTTATAAATAGCTGATAAATAGATTAATTGTGTTTATATTATTGTTAAAGGATGTATAGTCATGCATGTTAATGCATACACATTGGGTTGTTTCCCTTCTCCCTATTTTCGCGAGGAAGTCACTTCTCCCTAAAATTCCCCCCAGGATGAGCCCTGTCATGTTACTGTTCATGTGAAAAGTTTCCATTTGCAGTTTAGTAAACTCCCATTAACTTGATGAAGAACAAACTAGAATAGGTGAAAAACATTCTTGCTAAAGCAGTAAAGGTACTTACTGTTGGTCTCTTTTCCTCAGCCTGCCATCTGCCATAGTGGCACAGTTTTTAAGCACAACTTTTCATCATTAACATAAAAAACTGTTTCATCAGTCATGAATAACAACCTAAAATTATATTTTTACAATATCAGTTACGATAGAAAAATGATAATCCATTATTTATAGATCAGATATAATAAGAGAAGAACATAAAAGCAAGGCATCTGTGGCCATTTTATACACAACACATAGGAGACACACTTTGAAAGAAATATTACATCATGGTCTAGCATGAAGAACAAGATTTTACAAGATTATCCAAGTGTAAACAAAATCTGCAAATCAGACTATTATAAATTCTCTCTTTGCTAGGATGGTAACTACCTACCCCTGCAGTTGCCTATTAATTCCTTACACCTGTGCAGTTCACTGCAGCTTGCATTGAACATGTCTCACACTTGTTTTCCAGCTGTTTTTAAAATTTTAAATATTCTTCTTTTATTCTCTTTTTAAACAACTTTTTTTAACTTTCTTTGCAATTTTGACTAGCAGGCATGATTACATCATAGTTGAATAATTATGACGTTGCTATGAAATATTTCTACTTCTGGGGCTTGACCGACAAACTATAACAAGCCTGTAACATCTGCATGATATATTGGACTAGTCTACTCCCCACAAGGGGTTTGCCATTAAAAATTAGCTATAAGTAAATGTGTAATTGAAAAAAAAATGTTTTTGATATTGTGACAAAATATGTTATCAATGACTGTCAACACTCTTCTATGTCCTTTGAATTTCTCTTTACACATTAGTTGACCCTTCAACTGTTGAAATTTCATTTAACAATAAAATCACTATCTCCACAGTTTAAAGAAATTCTAGTCGCTTGAACAATATTGGCAGTTATACTCATCAGAGTTATCATCTTAGCATTTAAACATTTTAGATCTACATGTTTTATAAAATTTGTATTTTTTTCATTTTCACACATGAAAGCATGTGCATTTCGTTCATGTTCAAACCTATCCTATTCTGTCAACCAAATTTACCCATACTCACACTTTTCCCTGCAGCTCCGTCGGAATTATTTGAATTCTGTCATCATACTTCTTACATCAAATAAATCAATAAAGATAATTTTTCTTGCAAGCACTGACAGGAAGTGTTGTTATCATCAACAATGTGCTCTTCAATTTAAAAACAATTTCAGTGCATTTTTTAGGCCAACGCAAGAGAACTACCGAAAAGAACGTTTTTTTAAAAAGTAAATGTACACTAATGCATTGAAATTTAAAGATATTATGAAGCGTAAAAACACATTACATTAAAAAAAATTGCTCTATTTTGTAAAATAAAAATTACAACATGAAAATAATAATTATAATATTGTATCATTAGTCTCCTAGAAAATTGTGTAAATGGAGAATAAATTTCGGTTATTATCAAGAATCAAGTCATATCTTTATTTTATCTTACGGGTGCAATATGATTGTCACTCTTTCTCTCTTTGACCATGATAAAAATTTTCCTTAGAATTGAAGCATGGGTAGAAAAAATGAAACCTAATGAAATTCTGTTCAAACACTACTGCAGTAGACCTTTACTAATGTTAGAAAAAAGTTATGACTTACTCTTGAAAAAAATGCACCATATCCTACAGGACCCGGTAATTGTTTAAAACATTGGTTTAAGTTAAAAAGTGAACAGCTTTTCCACTAGTTTAATTCTTAACCAGGGGCCAGCTATCCAGGATAAAATTTCATTGCTCGACATTTGGATAGTACCCTGGCTACATAACCAGTAGATTGCGTATTTATCTATTTGTTTTGAAAGAAATCAAAGAATATGTCATTTATGTCCAAAACAATCTCTTGGGGATGAATTTCATTACTTATTTGAATGTCACTTTTTTAACTCTCTTCGTAAAAAGTTTATTGATTCAAAATTCTCAAATCATCCTAATATTTATAAATTAGAATCTTTAATGAATAGCTTTGACCATTCAATTTTATTAAAACTTGCATTATTCTGCAAAATTATTATTTCAAAATTTAAATAACTCATTCTCCCGTAAGTCATGAATTTCTCAACTTTATGAATGTATTTACATAGAAACAATTTAGATAACTTCTGTATAAGACAAATCATGTCCAAAAAGTAAAGTCTAGTCAAAATTTATGTTATGTGTTAGTCAAATTGATTTCCTTATTATATAATTTTATGTTTATATGTTTTGTTAATTACTTTTGAATAACTGTTCATTATATTGTTGATATATCATAACCTTATGCATATTATATGCCTTGGTTTTGAATAAATCTTGTTAAGTACCACAATGCAACGTACAGGGCTGATTAGTGATACTGAAAAATCTATGAATAAGAAAATTAATAAAGGCCTTAAAGTATCGACATATCTATTTTCCCTTAGACACACATAAAAAAATCAAGAACAACTTTTCCAAATTTTAAATTGAAACCACTGTCATAAGATGGGCTACGTTCTAATTAAAGTCTAAGAAAATGAGTACTGACAATTGTATGTTTTATTGAGAAAAAAAAAACACTGATTTTCTTGAAACAAAAAACAAAAACACAAAAAAAACAAATAGAACTGAAAAGGTTATAATAGCACTTTTTAAAGAAATGTTTCAATTTAATCATAAACATCTCATAAGAAATTTTCTAGTTGAGAAAAAATAAACATATATGTGTAACAAAAATCTAGTATACAAATATTTTAATGATTTTACTGTCTTAATGATAATTATTTTAATACGGCATTATGCGTTGGTCATAGATTACTTAAAGTTAACACCCGGATAACGGATTTTAGTCGTTAGATACTTTTGAGCAACATTATTTATCCAAAGACAATTTTTAGCCAGTGGGTAATGATTTTTTTTCCGTTTGTTTATCAATAACCAATGTTTTGAACATTTGGGTAATGGTGTCTTTGACTTCGTGTACTGGGTTAAATATAACAAAATACAAATCGAAATGTACTTCAGTTCATTAGGCAAAAGAAGATGCAAGTATTAATTTAATAAGACAGTTGTGGGCAATTGGAGATAAAAAGTTTTTAAAAAGCATAACTACAGCTTGTACGAATTTATCAAATCTTTAGAGTTTTGCCGCTGGTTGTTGTTGCAGGGTCGTGCGGGAGCTGCGTTCATTGAACGCTGCCTTTCGTTGTTGATCTTGTTTATCATATTTCAGAATATACCGAACCCACACGAATGCATACTTTGATACAGTCCATATTCAAGGTTTCTAAGTTATATCCAAATGTTGCAAAAGTTTCCTTATTTTATTTTCGAAAAAGTTTCTCGTCCCTGTGACTTCTTTATATTTTCAAAATGCTTTATAATCGGTTCAACCATAAACCCCAATGAATACATTAACTGGATACAATATTAGAAATATAGATAAATATCGAGCTGTTGCACATACCTAGTCAAAGTAATCCTACATAATCCGAATAAGTCGTTATTTCATTCACATCACTGATGTATAATTATTTTTTTCTTCCTTTTTTATGGAGAAAAAAAAACACGAAAGATCGGTGCTTACGTATTTTTATAATAATTATGTTAAAGAACATGCAAGTATATGTAACCCTAAAATGAAATTGCATATATGCTTTTAACATTCCTATCACAGTTTTCCACATTTACATGTATTAAAATATTAATGACAATGCGTAAATTACCTAATCACTGATAGAATGTATAGGCTAACCATATTCATCTCAATTTAGTATCTTTCTATTATTTTTAAGTTTTAAGCTCATTATGATCACCATAAATATAAGTATACATGTATTATTGCACAGTTGTGAGTCCAGTATTAATGTAATCACTAAGGTCTATCTTCTATACAATAACTAAAGGTACTTTCCGTCAAATCTTCGGACATGTTAGTACGAGTACTAAATAATACTATTGTTAATGATGAAACTGATATAATAATGTCAGAAGAAGAATTTGATTTACTATACGTAAGTTTTGTATATATTTAAGAAGCCATTTGATCAAAATAAGGAATATTTCTATCAACAATGTCATCTAAGTAACGGAAAGTGTTATCAAATTCATAAATGATTTCATGTTGTGAATTCAGAGACATGCCTAAGATAAAATTCCTTAAATAAACCGGCGACCAGGGGTGCACAAATAAATAAGAACAAGGTCCATTTATTCATATGTCTTTATTATGATGAACAATGACCACGGTCAATCTGAAATGAACATAAAACATATTAAAGATAAATGACTAAGCTAATGTTAATTGAACAATTGTATAAGTAAATGTTTATAATCCTCTATCTCCCCCTAAGTTTTTAAACGGCCTTCTAATATGTCTTTCATGCATAGGTCGGTTTAAAACTGAAGTCAAAACATTTGATAACAAATTAACATCCGAAATTATAGGTCCATGAACACTAAACTCCTGTTAGCATTTGAAAAACGGAAACTTCAAAAAAACAATTAAATGTATGTTCATAATTTTTATAGGTAATGATAACACTAGTTCATCTCGAAATCACGGTGCCATGTTGGCGGTTGACGGTACGACTAGATTTGCGTTGCTCCAAATTTGGGCATGGAGGTGACCCGTGATGGAGAGTTTGTGCTATCACTGGGAGGTGGGATCTCAGCTGGATGATTTTTGGTGTTGCCGAGATCAGTCGGAAGGCATTCCGGGGCATTCAACATCCAAATGAGTGTTTAGGGGTGTGACCACTTGGTGAAGGTAAAGTGGTTGATGGGAGGGTACAATATGTGTTCGGATTTTGCGTTGTTGGAATAGTGTCCTGGTTGTGTTTCACAATGGTCTCAGACGCTTTAGTTGTCTGAGGGCTGACAAGAGGTACAAACTGATTCCAAGTTTCATCATCCTTAATTGTACGGACTTCTGGCAAACTTCTGACAGGCAAATATTGTCTCAAAAATTTTCGGTTTCTTAGTGTGACCCTACCAGAGCCATCAACTCTAACGACGTATTGATCGAATTGGCGAACTTCTATGATAACGCCAGTTTTATCCCATTTAAGAGGGTGATGTCCTGTTTGATTTTGGATGCGAACCCTATCGCCTTCAGAGAGTGGGAGTAGTCTTTTAGTGTGCTCCGATAAGCGCTCTCCCTGTTTAAGGTGGCGATGTCTTAAAGCTTCCTCTCTTGCATCGAGTGTTTCCTTCCATGTGTTATGGGGACGGTACCTGCCGGGCGGAACAGGAATGAAGTCTCTGATGGGATGACCAAATGTAGCAGGAGATAACTTGGTGTCTCTGTCAGGTGTGTTCCTGTACTGGAGCATCGCACGTTGAAATGCATCGGTGTTGAGATCCCCGTTTCTACCTGTGTTGTCGGCTATTAGACGCTTGACAGTTTTTGACACCTATTTCAGCTCTGCAATCACTGTGTGGGAAAGCCACAGAGGAAAGGCGGTGATGGACTCCCCAATCTTTTAAGAATTGTCTGGTTGTTGTTGCCGTAAATTCAGGTCCGCCATCAGATGTCAATTCATCCGGAATCCCAAATGTCACAAATGTTCGGCGTAGTGAAGTAATAAGGCCCTATGCACAATTCGAAGATCGTTCAACTATGGGCCAGTTCGAGTATCGATCAACTATAACTAAATATCCAACAGCTTGATGGTGAAAATAATCTGCACAAACACATTGGAATGGGTAGTCTGGAGATATAGGCGGAGTAGGCGGAAGCACTAGGATTCGAAGGTGCGATACGATTGCAGTGATTGCATCCAGCTCGAAGGGTTGTTATAGCAGGTGTGATCCCTGGCCAAAACACGGGGACTCTGCTTGCGAAACCATGGAGGTAATTCCTTGATGTGCTGAATGAAAAAACTGCAATAATTTTTCTGGGGGTTTTGGAGGATTAATACCGATCTTGTTAGTTTTACCCCATCATTTGGTAGAGATCCCGGGGAATTTAAAAATACTCCGAAGTGTCGGGAAAATTCCCTTGCGAGACTCGGGTCTTGCTTTCTTAAAGGTTGAGGGTTCATGCTTTTATCGTCCTACTTGTGCATTTGCGAACCTGTCCCAGGGAAGCTTTGGGCAATGAGTCAATTTGGCATACGGCTGAGGGGGGAAAGAACAGGTATAACCTCTTTTGTCTTTTGAGAAATAAAATATTTTGTGCAATGTGGTAGGAAAA